AAACTGGAAAAATTTAAAAGTCCTCCAACAAGAATATGGGCAAATTCCAAATATTCATGTATCATTTATATAGTGCAATATTCTTTACTAATAAAACAGGACAAATATCACTACATTTAACAACATGGACGAACCCCAGGCATAATGGGTGGGTGAAAGAAGGCAGACAGAAGAGTACATACTGTAGGATTTCTTTTATATGAAGTTCTAGCTCAGGCAAAACTAATCCACGGTGAGAGATGTCAGAATAAAGGTTACCCCGAATTGGCAGGAAAATTTTGGTTTTGTTTTGATACAGTCTTGCTACGTTGTTCAGGTTGGCTTTGAACTCAAAATGTAGCTCAAGCTGGCCTTGAACTTGCAGTGATCCTCCTCCACCAAGCCTGGTTTGGAGGGGGAGTTTTGAAGGAATAGGGATGCAGATGAGCACATAGGTAAAAGTTCACTAAGCTAAACACTATATCTTTTCTACTGCATGTAAATTATATTTTTATAAAAACAAGCCATGGATTCAGTGCTTTCCTGTATAACATATCCCAGTGTGGGTCATATGTTCACATGTGCAGTTCTGTGATTTGTGCTGGTCCCACCCCCTTCCAGCCATATGCTGTGGCAAAGTCCATGGCTGCCTTGTTCCTTTTTATATTCCTGTCGGCTGCACAAAGCAGGCTTTTGGCAAGTATTTGCTGAATGAATGAATGAATAAGAGCTGGGTTATAACCAAGTTCTGTATCAGATGTGTGGGAGGAGAGGGGTGGGAAGAGAGCTTGTCTATTGCCCTGGGAACAGGGGAGCTTCATGGAGGCAGGAACAGTTGAGTAAACCCTGAAAGTTCCTTGGGCTTTTCTCAGGCAGAGTAAAGGAGGAAGGGCATGTGGGCAGAGGAGCCTATGTTGTGTGTGCAAAGGCACAGGGCTGAGATCATCACACCCGGGCATCTTGTGCTATGATGGTGGTGGCAGAAGGAGGGGAGGGTAGAAAGCTCGGCAGTGCCTTAACAGCTGACCTAAAGGATTTGGTCTTTACTGTATGGGAGTCAGGGAAGGTTTGGAGAGTGGGCAGTCACCACACTAGTTCTGCATTTTAGTGAGTTTCCAACTGAGTCCCAAAATCAGGGCTAGGACTTTTTTTTTTTAATGGATGTAGAAAAGTGAAGCTCCTTCCAGATCTCACCTAGGCTGGATGATGAGCTACCACCTCTGAGTCTGTCTTTGCGACCCAGGCAGCACCCAATGGTCTACTAGGCTGAGCTTTGGCCTGCTGTTTGGTGAAGTGGCGCCACCTATTGGCATGCCCAGCCTGGATGTCACAGGCCATCTGCTTCCTTTGCAGCCTTCTGGACCAGAGTGGCACAGCCTGCCCCACAGCCCAGGAATGGGGGTCCGGAAGAGAGCTTTTTGGGGGGCGAGTCCTCCTCTGAGATCAGGAGGTGAGATCAGGACCCTTGTGTGGCTCCTAGGAGAAAAGTGTTTCCTCTGCAGGGAATAAAAATGAATTAGAATGACTGATTGCTGGAACCCATTCTTTATGGGTTTACATCCTACTTCCACTGCCTGCCAGCACTGTACTTGGAGAAAGTTCTTTAACTCTTCATGCCTCAGCTTCCCCATCTGTATGTTGGGGATAACAATGGCATCTACCTGTTAGGGTTGTTCTGCGTCAGCAGGGTGCCTGGACTTTTGTGAATGAGTACACAATAGAAGGCATTACATTATTATTTTTTTAAAATTGTTATTACCACCATCATCCTTTCAGGTATGGACTGAGGCACAAATATCTGGAGCACCTGAGGGTTTCAGGGGTTGGAAGGTGAGGGCTGGCGTGTGGCACTGGCATGGGGAGAGGTGCTGTCCCAGCTGCAGAAGGACTGGTGCACGTAGCTCTCAGCAGCTGGGATGCTCCCCGTGATGGGGAGGGTGCTGACAGGAATGCAAAGCCCAACCTGCAACTTGCCTCCAGCATCTTGGTCTCCATGGTGTCCTCACCCTGCAGACGAGGAGGCAAGTCTGAGTGGTTAACTGTGCAAGTCTGCATAGTGCATTTGGGGCAGAGGCTGAAGGGCGCCTCAGCCCATCCTACAGAGATTAGGGGATGGTCTGCATGCTGCAAGTAATGAACAACACAACCTTTCCCCTGCCCTAGTCATCATCTCCAGATGGATTCTATAGCTTTTCCGATCTTTTAGTGGAAAGAGCCATCTCATTTCAAGAAACTCCCTCTTTTATCTGAATTAAAGTCTCTCTCCTCATGATGCTGGACCCGTAGCAGCAAGGGTGGCTCAGCACCCTGTCTGTCTATTTCTCACTTGCCGGTGATGATGGGGTGGAGTGGCAGGGACAAGCACAGGGAGGAGAGGAGGGGGCCCGTGTGCTGGTGCTGCTATCTGGCCTTGAGGTCCCTGAGTACACTTGTGTGACTCATTAGTCCCCTCTCAGGGCCGATCTTGGGTCTCCCTTGGTGGTGCACACCCAGCTGGGTATCTCCCCCAGCTGCTGGCTGATGCCCTTCCCCTTGGCCTCAGGGGCGCTCCAGGTGGCCCTCCTGTGGAGTCCCTCTTCAGACTTCCAATTTCTGCTTCCTTTTGGGGGCACTGGTGTCCCAACCTGGCTGATATTAGATGCACAATACCATGCCCTGACCAAGGAGGGCAGCTGGCAAGAGTCATTTTTGTGGTCCCCAAACTCCCAGGGGACTGTGTCACTCCTGCCCCAAAGTGCTCTGGGGAGACACCCCAATCTCTCCTGTGTTGGGATGGGGTTTAACACATTCCCCAAGGGATCCCCACTCAGAATATGGTGATTGTCCCTCAGCCCCATGAATTTTCCTTTTTTCTGTGCTCCTGAGGATTGAAACCAGGGCCTTTGCCCCAAGCCTCACCCCAGCCCTTTTTTATTTCTTGTTTTGAGACACAGTCTCATTGGCTGGGCTTGGACTCATGATCTTCCTGCCTCAGCCTCTCAGAGTGCTGGAATCATAGGCGTATGCCACCATGCCTGGCTTGTGCTGTCTTTGTGTAGCCTGGAGGTGACAGGGAGGGTGCAGAGCTGGCTTCCCAGTGGTGGCTTTTCCCGCAGTGCTGTGCTTTACCTCACCCTGGGCTCCTGGGTGTGCCTGTGGTGTGACTCCCAGACTTTAGGACCCAGGACCCAGGAGGTACTGTTATGGGGCGAGGAAGTGTGAGTGTGAGTGAGTTCCTGCTCCTGTGTAAGTATCGAGGAGGTGTTGGTGTGAGTTTGTGAGTGTGCACAGGGGTGTGAGCTGAGAGAACACGTGGGTGAACATGTGTTAGCATTTGCACACGAGTGTGTGTCATGTGACCATGAGTTGTGAGTGCAGGAGTATGTGAGCATTGGAGGGACTGAGTGCGACTCACCACCTGTCCCTGTCCCTCGCTGTAAGGACTGAACCCTCCCCTCCCCCACCACTCGTGACTCCGTCACACCCCCCCCCCCCCCCGCCCCTCC